TGTTCGTGTTTCTGGATGAAACATGGATATACCAAAATGGTTAGGTTCGTTGATGGCTTAATGAAAATAATGTAGAAGCAAATGCAAAAGAACCAAAGCAAGAAGTATAGCGTTTCTCTATACAGGGTGTTTCATAATATATGCGCAGGAATTCAGTATGTGATAGCTTGTCTAAAAAGTTGAAACGAAACCGTTTATCGTACAGAAAACATTTTTTTTTATTTTGTCATTATGAAGTTAACGCTTGCTTTTGTTACTTGTTTTAACGTTTACATAAATTTTGTTTAATTTTAAGATAAAATTTTTATTACTAAACTTAGCTTATTATGAGTGGAAAATGCTTACGAACGCTGTTTTCTGTACGATAAACGGTTCCGGACATATATTCGCAAAAAACGATTTTTTTTTAAATTTCAATACCCTCTATCTCGAAAATGGTGCATTTTAGAGGGTATGTTGATAGAAACTTTTTTTAAAAATTTTTGGACAAGCTGTCACATCCTGAAGTCTTGCCCATATACTATAAAACACCTGTATTGCAAGCTGGTTGTAAGGACGTATAGACTGAAGGCTGTGATCACCATAATATAATTAAAGGTTACGTTCGTATCGTTAGATGACATTGAATCTCCAACTTAAAATTCACGCAATGCTGGTTGATGTGGAGAAGTGGTTGGAAAGTTATGATATTAAGTTTTCTAACATAGCGGAATTGTGGGCTCAGACACGCGATTGCTTTCAAATACTGATCAAGTTTATGTAGTTGATGATTTGTTAAAGTTATATGGACACGATGCTTGCGTCTTCCATCATATTGTTGCCAACACTATAGAATTGTAGGATTATCTTAGGGCTTATCTAAAATACATTATAGAAGGAATATTAAAAGTGCTGATTATGTCTCATTAAATAAAGTCGATACAACCTGGAAAGAAATCTTTTCACAGTTTATATCCTAGCATTGAAAGAATAGTCACTGAGAAAACTTCTTAAAGATGGTTACTTGAAATAGAATTTGTTTTCCTCATCTTGATTGAGAATGAAATATTTCGTATATAGTATATATTTATGTAAGCATAAATGTAATCGAGCCAAATAACATAATAGAACGAGTTCTTAACTATATACGAAATATTTCATAGTTTCCAATAAAATAAACAACTGGAAAGTAAAACGAATTGTTAAAGAATAGAAATTTCATATGAATAATAGTGTATATTCCTAAAAATAAAAACATCTTGACGTAATTCGAAAGTTTCCTGAAGATGGTCTAACCAGGACCAAAACCGGTAGAGTAAAGAAATGTATCCATCTAATTAAGAAGTACAACATTTCAAAGCGTTTTATTTTTGATTAACAATATTAATGACAAAAAGTTCTTTTATTTGAAATAACATGTTCGAAATGATGTCCTTCTTCATTAATATACATTTCTAACCGGTGTCTAAATGAACTTTGGACATTATCTCCTAAGTGCTATCGATTAATTTCTTCAAAAGCGGCAATGATACGTTGCTGCGTATCTTCTCGGTTTGTTGGTACTGTTTGATAAACAATTTCTTTCGCCGTGCCCCACACGAAGAAATCCAACGCAAAGAAGTTTTCATTAACCTATATTCATTTGTTCTAAAGTCCAGAAATTTTCTCGATGGAAGAAGTCACCATCGTGTAACTCTTGGTTTAGTTCGATATGATATGGGGATATCTATGAATAGAGGTCAACACTTTTTGAAACACTCTTTTATTTTCCTAAGACCATCCACGAGTCTTTGAAATGTTCTCCGATCAGGTGTGCTTTTCTACAAATTAGGTAAAAATTTCGTCTACGTAAAAACGGCAAACGCATCTTTTAATCTTAAGCCTCACCAGGTCATCGATATAAAAGTCGATGCACCAGGTTAAGAGAACAAATCATACACACCACTGAGCTGATCGGTTGGTCTTTTACTCAAGCGGCAATAAACGAGCGGCTCCTAGTAAGGGTGGTAGTCTCGGTACACGGTACCATAAATTTAACTGTCATTTCATTTTTCCTAAATGTCCTAAATAATAATAATACGCAATTTTTTTGCTGTGAATTTGCTTTACTATGACTCCCACATCATATGGTATATTACTAACATATGGTTTTTGAATAAATTTTAGAATGAAATGAAAAAAATTAATGAAAGGTATTTGTTTTAATATTAGGCGAAATCCAATTTAACACACTTAACACTCCAATTCGAGATATTCACATCCTTATAAAATACTCACTTAATATAATAAATTTATTTTCTTTTGTATGAATTAGCACTTTAAATCGAAAGGAATAAATGTTCAAATATTAATTTCAAGTGGTTTGGAAGTTGTAACTCACTTATGATGTTTCATTTCAAGTAAAATTTAAATTTAAGAGTTCAACACATCGTTAATAATTGTTTTACATACGATCAGAAACTAATACGATGTTATATTTCAGTCCGGTTATATTAACACAACAGGTAAAAATACAAATTTATAGAATATTATATTATTTATTTTTTTAATTAAATAATTAAATCAATTATGAACATTTTACTAATTCGTTAGCTACATTAGCTACGTTTTACCATCTGTGATGAGCACCAATACTCCAGTTGGGTTTAGACTTGTGTGGTCCCCTAACAACTTTATTCCAAGTTCCAGTAATTTGAGTTTGATCAGTTTTGTGACCAGCATTAATCTTGGCAACGGTATCTTGTCCAACTCTATCAACTTTACCTCCTACACTCCATGGATACGGACTTTCTGTGCTGCCGCCGATTTGTGTACCGCCTGGAGCAAAAGATCTTCTGTGTCTGACATATTGATCGAGATCCACAAGTTCATGTTCATCGGGTTCGTAGTGTCCTACAATCATATACTCCTGGTATTGATCCTCAGGAACAATGAAAGCTGCGGAAATAGCCACTAAGGCGAATAAAGCGAAGGATTTGATCATCATCTGCAATAAAAAAAAGTTAAGCGAAAAAATAAGTGGAAATTTGACGTATTATTCAGGTGAGAGACAAACTTACTGTTTATGAGGTTATTTCTTGTTGAATACGTTGACTGCGTAGAAACCAACTCTATGGAGCTGTTGAGTAAAGAGATTTGATTTTATGATTTGTNACAGGCGTATTGTTTTTCATCAACCCCTCGAACAATCAAAAAAAAGAAAAACAAATAACAATAACAAAAATTAATGACAATGAATATACATATAAGAATGTATTCATCGTAAATACCAAACATAAAACTTAATAAAATTAAATCATATTAAAGTCGCAAAATCTATAAATCATTTTTATATCCAAACAAAGCAAAAAAAAAATATATACCTGTTTAGAATACTTCAAAAATTGAAAGTTTTATACTTATCGAATTAAACGAAAATATCCTCGTTTTTCTCTTTTTTTTCAAGCTCAAAACTCCACAGAACTTATAACTTGATGTGTTCAATAAAACGACGAAATTCACGCTCTTTTCAAGACT